TGGTAATCATAAACCAGAAATCTATAATAAACAGACAAAAAGTTAAGAGAAAGGAACCCAAACATAATATTATAGAAAGCCATCAAACCACAAGGGAAGAGAGCAAGAGAAGAAGAAAGGAACAGAGAACTACTAAAACATCCACAAAAAAAAGTAACAAAATGGCAATAAGCACATATTTATCAATAGCTACTTTAAATGGCAATGGACTAAATCCTGCAATCAAAAAACATAGAGTGGCTGATTGGTTAAAAAAAATAAGACCCATATATATGCTGCATACAAGAGACGCACCTCAGACCTAAAGACAGTCACTGAAAATGAAGGGATGGAAAAAGATAGTCCATGGAGATGACAATGAAAAGGAAGCTGGGGTAGCAATACTTAGACAAAATAGACTTTAAAATAAAAACTGTAACAAGAGACAAAGAAGGAGACTACAAAATGATAAAGGGAACAATCTAACAAGAAGATATAACACTTGTAAATATCCATGCAAAGGAGCACCTAAATATACAAAGCAATTAATAACAGACTACAATAATAGTAGGGGACTTTAACACTCCACTTACATAAATGGATAGACCATCCAGAGATCAATAAGGAAACATCGGCCTTAAATGACATATGAGACCAGATGGACTTAGTGGATATATACAGAACATTCCATCCCAAAACTGCAGAATACACATTCTTTTCAAATGAACATGGAACATTCTCCATGATTAATCACATATTAGGCCACAAAACAAGTCTTCATAAATTTAAGAAGATTGAAATAATACCAAGCATCTTTTCTGACCACAATGGTATGAAACTAGAAATCAACTACAGGAAGAAAGCCCAAAATACCACAAATATGTGGAGATTAAACAAAATGCTACTGAAAAACTATTGGGTCAATGAAGAAATCAAAGGAGAAATCAATACCTGGAGACAAATGAAAATGAAAATACACCATGCCAAAATTTATGGGATACAGCAAAATAGGTTCTAAGAAGGAAGTTTATAGCAATACAGATCTACCTCAACAGACAAGAAAAATTTCAAATAAACAGTCTACCAGTGCACCTCAAGAAACGAAAAAGAAGAACAAAGCCCAAAATCAGTAGAAGGAAGGAAATAATAAAAATTAGAGTGGAAATAAATGAAATAGGGACAAAAAAAATCAATGAAACTAAGAGCTGATTCTTTGAAGCCTTTTGTCAAACAAAATTTTATCACACAAAATTGAAAACTTTAGCTAGACTCACCAAGAAAAAAGAGAGAAGGCTCAAAAAATAAAATCAGAAATGAAAGAGAAAAAATTACAACACACACCTCAGAAATACAAAAGATTATAAAAGAATACTATGAAAAGCTACATGCCAACAAATTGGATGATCCAGAAGAAATGGGTAAATTCTTTGAAATGTACAACCTTCCAAAACTGAATCAAGAAAAAATAGAGAATTTGAATAGACCAATCACCAGTAAGATTGAAATAGTGATTAAAAACCTCCCCAAAAATAAAAGTTCAGGACCAGATGTCTTCCCTGGTGAATTCTACAAAACATTCAAAGAAGACTTAATACCTATCCTCCTCAAACTCCTCCAAATTTGAAGAGGAGAGGAAGCTTCCTAACTCCTTCCTGAGGCCAACATTACCCTGATACCAAAACCAGATAAGGACAAAGTGAAAAAAGAAAATTACAGGCCAATATCACTGATGAACGTCAACGCAAAAATCCTCAACAAAATACTAGCAAATTGAATACAATAGATTAAAAATATCATATACCGTGATCAAGTGGGATTTATTCCAGGGATGCAGGAATAGTTCAACATCCACAAATCAATCAACATGGTACATCACATTAACAACATGAAGAATAAAAATCATAGGATCATCTTAATAGATGCAGAAAAAACATTTGACAAGATTCAGCATCCATTTATGATAAAAACTCTGAATAAAATGCATATAGAAGAATAGTACCTCAACATAATAAAGGCCATATATGAAAAACCCACAGCTAATATCATATTCAACAGGCAAAAACTGAAAGCTATCCTTCTAAGAACAGGAACCAGACAAGGATGCCCACTTTCACCACTCCTGTTTAACACAGTATTGGAAGTCCTAGACAGAGCAATTAGGCAAGACAAAGAAATAAAAGGGATCCAAATTGGAAAAGAAGAAGGGAAACTGTCACTATTTGCAGATGACATGATTTTATATATAGAAAATCCTAAAGAATCTAGCAAAAAACTTTTAGAAATAATAAATGAATACAGTAAATTTGTGGGCTATAAAATCAACATATAAATATCAGTTGTGTTTCTATACACTAATAATGAAGTAGGAGAAAGAGAAATTAAGAATACAGCCCCATTTACAATTACAACAAAAAGAATGAAATACCTAGGGATAAATTTAACCAAGGAGATGAAAGACCTGTACACTGAAAACTATAAAACATTGCTGAAAGAAATTGAATAAGGCACAAAGAAATGGAAAGACCTTCTGTGCTTTTGGATTGGGAGAATTAACATAGTTAAGATGTCCATACTTCCTAAAGCCATCTACAGATTCGATGCAATCCTTATCAAAGTTCTAGTGACATTTTTCACAGAAACAGAACAAAGAATCCTAAAATTTATATGGAACAACAAAACACCCTGAATAGCCAGAGCAATCCTGAGAAAAAGGAACAAAGCTGGACACATCATATGCTCTGATTTCAAAATATACTACAAAACTCTAGTAATCAAAACAGCATGGTACTGGCACAAAAACAGACACACAGATCAATGGAACAGAATTGAGAGCCTAGAAATAAACCCACACATCTATGGACAGCTAATCTTCAACAAAGGAGCCAAGAACATGCAGTGGAGAAAAGAAAGTCTCTTCAATAAACGGTGTTGGGAAAACTGGACAGCCACATGCAAAAGAATGAAAGTAGACCATTATCTTACACTAAACACAAAAATTAACTCAAAATGGATTAAAGGTTTGAATGTAAGACCTGAAACCATGCAAGTTTTACAAGAAAACATAAGCCATACGCTCTTCGACATCAGTCTTAGCAGCATATTTTCAAATACCATGTCTGATCAGGCAAGGGAAACAAAAAACAAATAAATAAATGGGACTACATCAAACTAAAATCTTCTACACAGCAAAGGAAACCATCAACAAAACAAAAAAAGAACCTAACAATTGGGAGAAGATATTTGCAAACCATATATCTGATGAGGTTAAAATATATAAAGAACTCATACATCTCAACCAAAAAAAACCCACAAACAACCCAATTAAAAAATGGGCAAAAGATCTGAACAGACATTTTTCCAAAGAAGATATACAGATAACCAACAGGCACATGAAAAGGTGTTCAACATGACTAATTTCATTGGGAAAATGCAAATCAAAAGTACAATAAGATATCACCTCATATCCATCAGAATGGCTATAATTGACAAGACAAGAAATAACAAGTGTTGGAGAGGGTGTGGAGAAAAAGGAACTCATACACTGCTGGTGGGAATGCAAACTGGTGCAGCAACTATGGAAAACAGTATGGAGATTCCTCAAAAAATTAAAAATAGAACTACCATATGATCCAGCTATTTCATTGCTGGATATTTATCCAAAGAACATGAAAATATTAATGCATAAAGGTATATGCACCCCTATGTTCATTGCTGCATTATTCAGAATAGCCAAGATTTGAAAACAACCCAAGTACCTATCAAGAGGTGAATGGATAAAGAAGATGTGGTACACATACACAATGGAATACTACTCGGGTATAAAAAAAGATAAAATCTTGCCACGTGTGACAACACGGATGGACCTTGAGGGTATTATGCTAAGTGAAATAAGTCAGATGGAGAAAGTCAAATACCGTATGATCTCACTCATAAATAGAAGATAAAAACAACAAAAAACTCCACATAGATACACAGATTAGATTGTTGGTTACCAGAGGGGGAGGAGGGAGTGTGGAGGGTGGAAGAGGTGACTGGGCACATGTGTGTGGTGATGGATGATAATTAGTGTTTGGGTGGTGAATATGATGTAGTCTACACAGAAATTGAAATATAATGACATACACCTGAAATTTATATAATATTATAAACCAATGTTACCTCAATAAAAAAAAAAAATATTCCAAGGAGTAATAGAAATAGGAATTGCAATCCTGATCGAAAAAGAAAACCAACACCTGAAGGGGGCCTACCAAACAAATGAAGACTGAGTGTAGGATTGCTTGAAGTATTCACCTGTTTTTTCATGTGCTTAAGCAGAGATGACACATTGGAAGATTCATCAGGTATAAAAACATAGTATTCAGTTTGAATGATTGCATATGCACCACCTTGGAATGCTGTTAGAATATCTAATACCATTCTCTTTTGAAGGACAGCCTTTCTCATTAAAGACATTTTGGTGTTTAATAAAGACATTCCTGCTTGACTGTTGTTAAGGGCTTATTGAATAAATTTAGTCAGTGCTTCTATATGTGATACGACATCTTCTAGCCTGAAGGAAGGAACAAGTATAGCCATGGGGTGGCCATACCTGTGGAACTCTGAATGAGCCCATCTGGCCTTAAAAAGAGGAAGATTGACATAGATGTTAGCTCACGATACATCCTTCTCTACCTCCAAGAGAATCTCAGGATGCAGTGTTTTAGCCATCCAGGCAGTAGTCAAGGCCAGAGCTTTATTCCACATAACCACTGAGTTCCATTAGTAGCCACTAGATAAATGGCTGGCCTTTGAGACCAGTCTGTTCCAAACCAATCACTTTCTTATGTATGATAGTATTTTGAAAACCTTAAATGGAACAATTATAAAATAGGTATATGGTTTAAGCATTACAAAATTTTAAATGAGGAGATATAAGGTTGAGAATATAGGCCTGGTCCGGGGTCTTGGGACAGCTGTCTACAACAGATGCTGTCTTCTTCTCATCCTGGTTTGGAGATATTTGTATAGGTCAGTTGAAGTCAGGTATCAGAAATAGGAACTGAAACCCACTCAGGTGGAGAAGCCTTTTTTCAAAAAAATGAGAAATGTGAATCCATGAGTCCACACCTTTTGATTCTGCAGTGCATGAATTGGCTAAAAGTACCTGGTATGGTCCTTTCCAACAGGGCTGCAAAGAGTCTTTTGTCTGGTGTCTTTTCCAATAAACAAAATCTCCAGGTTGAAGTCCCTGATCTTTAAGGTCTTCGTCTCCTAGGAGCTCACTGTGTAAAGAATCAGCTACCAACCTCTTATTTCTTTTAAGTGTCTCAATGAGAGCTTGACAATATTGTAAGACATCTCCTTTAAGCAAAGTTGGTTCAGACATTCCTTCATTTAATTGCATAGGCTGTCCAGTTATTATCTCAAAAGGGCACAGCTGATGTTTACCAAAGGGTGTAGATCTAAGAGTAAGGAGAACTAGTGGAAGAGCTTTTGGCCATGAGAGATTAAATGCTTTTGAAAACGTTGCCAATTGAGTTTTGATTGTGCCATTAGTTAAAATGTTGCATTATTGGCTAAATGTCACAAATAGATTTCATTATTTGTCCAATGAAATGAGTTCCCTGGTCACTGTGTAACTCAGTAGGAATTCCTCAAATAGCAATTATCCTTTCCAATAATAAATTACCTAAAGCTGTTACTCTTCTCAAGAAAAGGCCTCAACCCAATGTGAGAACATACAGATCATTACAAAATATATTTATCCTCAAGATGGTGGCATTTGAAAAAAGTCCAATTGCCATACCTCAAAGGGTCTCTTAGGAAGAGGAAAGTGCCCTTGTGACTCATTAAATAGTTTCCCTAGATTATACTTTGGGCATATAGCCCAACAAGTATAGGCTTTATGAGCCGCTGTGGGAGAGTTTCCAAAAGTATTGTTTTCCCCATAAAGTCATCTTTTCAGGTGCCCAATGAGTTAGTTGGTGTATATGCTGGAGCAGGGGCAATTGTGCTCCAATAGGCACTATGGTTTTATTTATTAATTTTTTTTAATCAGGCCTGAACCACATCTGTGAGGTAGTGTCAAAAATTCCTCCTTTCGATATCTCCTTTGTTTCTCTTCTTCCATGGTGATTTCTTGAGCCTGTAGAAGGAAATCTTTTTATTGGGTTAGCAGAGTCAATAGAAAGTAGTAGGCATTCTTGAGGCTGGACAGCATATCCGGTTTGATAATGTGCTTGCTTATCATTTAAGTAAGACTCATTTGTAAACCAAATTAGATAACAGAATGCAGTTGTGGTCATTTTCCTCCCGTGATACTGGAAGCAAGGTAGCATGGTTAAGATAGTGAATAATATTTACCTATGCAATATAACTAAGAAAGTTCATCACCATTTACTTGACAATGCATCCCATGCAATTTAGCATACCAAACAAGCCTAATTAGTTTAGTATCTCCCTCTTTATAGGAAGAGAGAACAAATATCTTTGAGAAGTCCCAGGGGCCCTCTCAAATTCTCAGAGAAATTTTCAAGTCAAAAGAAAGACTTTATTTAGGATATGAATTTTGAGGTGCTTGTCAAAAATACCAAAGGGTTTTAAAACACTTGATCAAACAAGATCAAATGATTGCTGATCTTGTGTCACTGTATAACAGAGGTCACCATGAAACAATGCTTAGTTATCCATTCAACCAAAGTGAGACTCACTCAAAAGTAAAGAAAACCTTTTATAATCTCTTTATCAAGAACAGACTAAAAGTCCAGGAAAATTATCCCTTTACAGAGAGAGAATGAAATTTTAATTTTTGTACTAACTTACTTCTGATATTAAAACTCATTTACTTAACTAAATTTATTTCAATCTTAGCCAACTTGATCATGTACAAAATTCTTTCCTCAGAGTTCCTCTTCCACAAACTATAACTTTCTTTTTACATTTAAAATTTATCCTATGCCTTCTTTCCTTCCTAGTACTTTAGGACGAATTTATCTTTCTTAACAAAACAAAAATGTTTGTATTTTTTATACCTTTTTTACTGAAAATATACATCTTACTTTCCTTGAATACAAAGACATTTTCTTTATTAATTTTTGGTGGCTTTAATCACATATATTAATTAGAATTTTTAACCCTTACACACCTTAATTTTTAGTGAAAACTAAGAAGTAAACAAATATGAACTATCTTTACATTAGCATTTTGTGGTTTGGCAAATTCATAAATACTTTTTATACTTTCTAGAAACATGCTACTTCATAGTGCAATCTTTTAATAAAATACAAGACACATTTACTAATAGACTCAAACATTTTTTAGTTTCTCTGTAATAAGAAGCCAAAAGTAGATAAATCTATATTTATTAATTAACATCTAATATTTTATCTTACATGGAAATGACCTACATACTCAACAAATTTTATCATTTAACTCAATTAGCAAAACTCTAAGGTTTCAAGTTACCAAAAGGTTTTGAAATTTTTTTAAGTACATACACCATAAGGCATAATTATTGTTAAAAGTTCATCTAACATTCTTATCTTTTTCACGTCTTTTTAGTTTACTTGTTTTCATGCTAATTACTCTGAAAACATGTTGACTTTAATCAAACCAACAATCTTAAATAAGATTTTTTATTTACCAAAGATTATTTTATATGATGTTAGATTGAAAGACATTTAGGTTAGTTTCCATTACATTTATATAAGCACTTACTTTAAGCCAATTAAATAGAGCTCTTTAGAAATTATGCCATCTGGAGGTAAGATATCACACATATGTAACATACATATAGACACACATACAAAGAGACTCCACAGCTATTGTTTTAAAATTACTACCGTTAATCAGGTACAGTAATATTAAGTCTCACTAGTTATGAAGGAATAATTAAATCCAAATTTTGCTTTAAGCTTTTCCACTAATATTTGTGGAGAAGACACTCAAGATGCCAGATTTTGAGAGAGGGTGCTCTTATGACTGTTTTTCTTACCTTTTTCCTTCTTTTTCTTCAGTCTTAGGAATTGGTGATGGGCTAGATAACAGTTGCCAGAAAGGCAAGGTGATAAGCATTTTGAGATAAAGGAAATGGGTGGAATCTGAACTGCCTTTAGAGCTGCTTTCCATTTTTGCAAAGGTTTGTAAGTCGAAGACAGTTGTTCCTAGTTTCTCAGAAATTTGGGTTGTAAGTTAAATGACATTACAGGTCAAGCTACCTGTCCAACTACATCATCCTTAATTTGCTTCTTTCCCTCTGAGTGTTTAGTTTTATTTTAACTTAAGGAAGAAGGCCTAAAAATTTCTTATCAGGCTCTGAATATCAGCTTCCAGTTTGGCTGAATTTCTGATTGTAAATTGCTAAATCCTTTCAAATACCTTGTGAGGTTTCAGCTCGGACAAACAGTAACAATGTGGCAATATTGAACAGTTCCAGTAATCTTTAACGTAGCAGTTTCCCAGAAAATATCTCAGAGTCTCATTAACTCTGGAAGTAGATTACAGGGGTGTCTGTAAAAAGCTATGGCCTAATATATTTTCCTTTAGGTACGTTTTATAACTTAATTTTCTATTAGCTTTTTGCAACAAAATTATCAAAAAGTTTAATTTGGCAATTTTGAAAGCTTTGGTTTTAAGTGTACTTCTTAAATGATCTTATCTGATTGGAACGTTCTTTCTACTTGCCAATGCAATTCCCCTGAGGCTGGCAGCACATTGATAGGACCCTTAGCTGTGAATGGAGTGCAACCCACATTTCTATCCAACCATCTCTGACCACAAAATGGTGTGGAACTGAATTTTGTCTGACCATATTTTGGGAACCCTACCTGATAATTATTAAGCCAAGCCCTCAAGACACAAAACAAGACTAGTAAGATTTTTTTTCTGTTCTTTGTAAATATTTACAGCTTCCAGAAGCTTTACTTTTTGAGCAATTGTGCCGGAAGTTGGCAAGCTTGACTCTTTAAAGATTTCTCTGTTATCTGGCTCTTAAAAAGGAACCTCAAAGTGGCCCCTGTAATTTTAAGTTATCCGGGGTTATTTTGTCAGCTGTTTACAGCTATCCCATTTCATGAAGCACTTGCAGGTTTCAGCATGAAGCCAGCTGGAGTTCCCAGGCGGGCTGTCCATTCAGGAACTGGTTGGCTTTTAGAAGCTTGATTTCCCATTTTTCTTTTCCTTTTCTTTTAGTATAAAGTCTGAACAATTTCTAGGGACTGTGTAGAGGGTCAGAAATGTGCTGCTTGTGAGTGTTAATCCCTAAAAAAGGATTGTAAGCACTCTCTTACATGTCTTGGTTTCTCCTACCGACAGTCTAAAACTACCCTGGTCAGCAGGTCAGTAATTAATCCTTAGATTCCAGGAAGAGATACTCATCCTTAAAGAAATGCTGATATTGGGGGGGAGCTACATCCCTATCTCTAAGGGCATCATTCTTGTCTTTGGGACACAGTAAATGTTTAAAGCAGATGTACAATGCACGCTCAACAGGCCACATCAGGCCCTTTTGGAGAAACAAGTTCAGGCTGAATTAGTTTTACACCAAATGGCTTCCTCATACACTCCAATATATCCTGTTGCTTTTCATTTATTTATCAAACCATTAAAGTAAAGAATGTACTCTCTTAAGACCAGAATGCATACTTCTCCCCCATGCCCTATTGATAACACCCTATTGGTAAAACCTTTGTTAGTCCCTTTCCCTACATCAAGGTCATGTTGACCTGCTAATTTACAACTGAACACCTCTTTGAAACTTTGATGAATATGTATCCTGGTGTGTTAATGTATGTCCTTTGTTCTAAAAAGCTATAAGACCTTATTAAAAACCATGTTTCTCTGAAATACTTTCTTCCTTTCTGGAAAAGGCCTTTCTGGTCCTTAGCTTGGCTCAAGTAAAACTCACCTTATCCCTCTTAGCTATAGAATGGTTATTGGTTATTTTGCATCAACAGAACGTTTTATATTGTGGGGATATATCAATAAATATCAATAACTGCAACATCAAAACTTCTGTCATCATGGAGCTTACCTTTCAATAGATATTAGTATA